GAATTGCAGCAGTGTTGATATGTGAAAACAGTGCAAATTGCTGAGAATAAGGAATTAGGAGCTTCAATGTCACACAAATCTGAAGCAAAAGACCACACCAGTGTTCACAGTATTGTGCCTAAGGACAGTATTTATTCCATTCATATGGCATGATCCTGTTTTTAATGAGCAGGCAGAGCGCTTGGCAGGTAAATGGCCTAGTCATGGACAGTATTAGCTACTGTGAAATTGAATTCTGCACTTGTGTGTCCAATACAAACAGTAGTGAGCACACATGGAGTCTAATATTCCCAGAGAAACCAGGGCTGACATTTAACTGCCCCTGGGAGAAGAGGAGGAAATTAATACGGTGGGTATGGAAGACAGAGGCTTGACACAGCAAGAAGAAACAAGAGGCAGAGAAGAGGTGGATTACTGGATGGTGAGTCAGTGATATTTTTGTTGAGTTTATGCATGTGTTTATTTTCAGGGTGTGATATCCAAATTAAACATTAGATATGCCTAAAGAATGGGTATATATACATACTGTTGAGTGTTTCCAGCTACTGGGATGCCCATGGACACACAAACACCACAAGAAACAACACTAAAAGAAGCCTATTAAGGATGCAAGGTCAGTTGTTCAGAATTATGACAATTGTAGCAAGCCTTTTTCTTGCTTTCTTTATGCTTATGCCTCATAACCCAGTTTTTAATTATGTACTAACAGGTTTTTTAACTTTTTTTTCTTCTGCAGGGCACCTGCCTCAGTCATTGCCCACAATGGGCAGTGTATGCCCTAAGTAGTATTTCATGGTTCAACATATGCATTATTTACTGTGTGCTGTCCAGCCCCAACTCTAAAGAAGAATTGCTGCTTAGGATGCTGCCTGTGGAGCTCATCACCATCACATCTTGAGTGCTTCGCAACATTATCCATTATCCATAGCTTTCCAATCCTGAAATGTGCATAGTTCCCACAGAAAGGTGGTGATAAATCAGCAAAAGCCGAATGCCACATGTATATTATGGGGTCTTCCACTGGAAATGCCAAGGAGCTGCTTTCTTCAGAGAGCTTAGTGTTATGCACTTCTTGGACTGTTCAAAGTAGATTTCCCATTCAGTCTCAGCTGTGGATACCAAATCCTGCATTTCAGGCTTCCATGAAGCCAGGCTGTTGGCTCAGAAAGAGAAGAGCACGAAATTATGGACATTGGGGCTGAATGTGGGTTGGAGTGGTTTGCCTGCCATTCTGTGACAGAAGTCCTTGTGGAAATCAGCTTCTCTCACAGCTTTCACCGTTTCAACCATTACATTTTAATCTCTTGTAATCTTCTGTCTCATTTTAGAGCTTCCAGCTCTTGGAAGGCTGAAGCATGGATGCAACTGACTCTATTCACCTTTGTTACACAATGCCAGGCTTTTAATTTTTTTTTTTTTTTCCAGACTGATACCTATTTGGGCCATCAGGACAAGGCAGGATGTTTGGTGCTCACCTCTGCAGCCTTAGCTCGTGAAATACCTGAACTGATCTCCTCCAGCAGATGCTGTGCTGCATCTGAGTATCCCAAATCTCCTGTCCTAGTAACTGAGGCATCTCAGGGTTATGACAAGAGACTATACTCTCTAACACTGATGTCTGTCCTACCCCCTGTACTGGGCCAGAGACAGTTCTGTCCCTCCCTTCCAAAATCCTTTCTGGATTTGTCTTCGTTTTCCCCTAGTTTACCTGTCTGCTGCACTGACTCCCAGGCATTCCCCATCTGCCTAACCAGCTCTGTCTTTAGCTCTCAGTCCCAGTCTTTGCTTCCACAGTTGTTCTCAATGCAGGTAATTCTCAGTCTTAGTTTCTCCTCATCTTTTTGTGACAATCTTCCCCCAACTCCAGTACAGCTGAAGGTTTGTCTCCACTGCCTCCTGCACCTCAAACTCTAACATGAGTATACCCCTGAGTATCTGTAACACATCCTTTGCTTTTGCCAGTTCTTTTAGCACAACTTTTACTGGAGCCAAGGTGGGCTGATGGTCTTCTGGGGCTGATGACAGCCCCGCTCTTTAAAAATCAGTTGATGAACCATCAGTTCCATACGTCTCCCTTTCCCCTGAGCCTATTTCTATAAGTGCTGCCTGACTGCCATGGATGAAATCTGAGGTTGTTCCCAAACCTGCTTCTCTCATCCTCTTAAATATGTAACTTGGCTGCCAAATCGTGGATATGTACTTGGCAGCCGGCGATAGCAACTGGGAACACAACATACACAATATGATTGTCAAAATAAAAAGAGAGAGATGGCTGTACAGAGCAGAGCCAGAGCTGAGTTTTCAGGCTGATTTGAGATTCTTGCTTAGCTATCCATGAACTGACTGTGCTTGCATGGATAAACCTTTAAAGAGCACCTACACGAGAAAAGATGCAGTGTCTGGAAGGCTTTGGAAATGGGGGACGTTAGAGACAGGTTGTTTTGTGAAAATTTTCTTCCCCCACGTTGTGTTTTCCAACTGTTCTTACCATGTGGCCATGAACACCTCAATGTTGTTTTAAGGAGTATATTCCCTTGTTGGAAACTATTGCAAAAATGAATGATGCCATTTTTCAGAGGTGAAAGCAGAGGAACTGATCCGTCTTACTGAACTGATCTGTCTAAAAGTCTTAGGTCAGGTATTGTCATCCTTTCAGAGGGCACACTGGCCTAGTGAAGCAATATTTTCCTAGGTTGTGGCTGGTTTTCACCTTATAGCTGACCTGGTTTGTTGCGAGGTGTGGTTCTCTCCTTGTCCCTTTATATTTATCTGCATCTCCACTGGCCGTTCTCTGACTCCACCATGAACTGATGTTAAATGCTAACTCAACAGGAAGATTCTCATTTATTTTTTGCTGCATGACTATTTTGACAGTTTAGGGAACCACCTTGCTGTGGGGTCAGAGAAGATACAGAATCAACACAAAGGTAAATGATGGGAAAATTTTGATGGAAGCTTCTTCCATCAAAAACTGGCCTTTAGGCTGGATTAGCTGTAACATGAAACCCTTCATGGGGACTTGACTTTTATTGACAAAAAGTACCTTTGTCAACACAACTTGTACCAATTTTGGGTGCGATCTAAGCAGTACCAGTTATCCACGACACTGATCCGCTGTGAATGACGTGGGAGAGATTCTCTGCTTGCAAAGGCAAATGCTTCCCAATATCCCAAAGATTCCAGACCTCAAAACCACGCCCTAAAGTGACCTGCCTTAGCATATGGGAATTATTTCCAGGTGCGGCTTCCAAATACGGAGCTGATGGCTTGCACAGGGACCTTGTGACCTGGTAGATATGCTTTTAAATCTGGTAAAGTCCGAAGCTAAAGTGTGTTTAACATCCAGAGATCACTGCCCATAACTGAGGGACCAGAACTAGCTGCCCTCTCTGCTGCTGGTCCTGGGAAATCAGGAAAGCCTCCACAGCTCCTGACTGTCAAAGCCACAGTAAACCTAAATGAGTGGCTGTGGAGATGTTATCGCACGGAAAACACATAATATCGCTGTTTGCACTAAAATGTTACCCAGAGAAGCTGCTCAGCAGGGCTGGGAAGGAGCAGAGGACATTGGCCATGAGTCTCATCCACAGAGTAGTCTGAAGGGGGGTTTGCATGCTGGGATCTGTGATTCCTAGGGAACAGCAGACGGTCACCAGGATACAGCCGTAAACAGGGTCACCTTATCCCCTTCACCGATGGCAGCCTCCCAGGCAGCACCATGCCATCTATGAGTCTCCCTGCCTTTCCCAGCTCCATCCTGTTACTGCTGTCCACGTTTGCCTTTGCAGCAGAACCTGAGGGCCACAGGAGGACCCACGGGTGGGCAGGGAATTGTCCCACTGCCCCAGCCAGGGAGCACAGTGATCAGGGACAGTCATTCATCCATTGGTATGAGTGAGAAGCAGCTGAGATGTATTTTGAAGACACAGGAGTGGAATCTTCTCCTTCCTGTGGTGTGCTGGTAGGTCTTGCTATGCTGTATCACCACCTCTTCTGTTTTTCTTTCATGGTTCATAATCCCTACTGTGTAACATAAAGGTACAGCATTTGTGTGGGCCTTTTCATCCAAGAGTTGTAAAATGCTATTAGAAAGCTTGAACCAAAGACTAGAACAGACAAGTTGAAATAACCACTTTTTGACAAAGGATTAGAGCCATGGTTTCCTAACATTCATCCCTGCGGTCTAACCATCACATGGGCTGCAGGCTGCTGACATGGAATTATTCTGCTGTCCCATATCCGGCCTCTACTACCAAATTAGATGGAGTAAGAATTTGTGAGAGCCTTGTGAGAGCTGAATGGTACGTGGCAAAAAGTCACAGAAAGCCTCAAAGTTTCACTTGGTTTAAATTTGTAGGCAGAAGGATTTCAACAATAAGAGTCATTTTGCTTTAAAGGTGACCTGCAATTAATAGTTAAGGGTTTGCAAGTCTCTCTTGTTAATTAAGAAAGACTAATAGACCTCATTTGTTTCCAGAGGATATTTTTTTTTTTAATTTTTTAAAAATATAGATGCTGTAAAATGCTGTTACTAGTAGTTTTTCCAGTGTCCCCTGAAGAGTCTATCTGGTGTTTATTTAAAGTTCTGAGAATATCAGGAATGTACACAATATATTCCATTTTTAAATAAAAGTCTCCTTTCTCCCAGTACTTAGACTCTACAATTACATAAATACCATATAAAAAACACAAAAGCAATGTATTGTTTAATGCATGGCTCCATTTGATTTCTCAGTCTTCATTGATTCACTGTTAATCCAAGAACTGATGTTCCTTAGCAAACTTTCAATTATTTCAATTAATTCATAACCTGAAAGACAAAAAAGGAGAAATACACATTTTTCTTTCTTACAATGGCAACCTTCGAGAACTTCTGTTCAGATGACACACACAAACAACATCTGGGGGAAAAGCAGACTGAAGAATGATAGAAAGTGGCTCATATGCACAGGATTTGCATTATAAATACTATATTAGGCTGAGAACTTGAGCATAGATTTATGACATGTACTCTATATGCTGTTTTCTGGCAGATGATAAAACTAATTCAAGGTGAGTGGTACTGGAAAGATGATACTAACACCCTTGAATTTTCAAGGTAAAAGAATGATGTTCAGTTACAAATTATGCAGGATTAGGCCTTGATAGATACAGCAGTTTCAAGTAAAATCAGTCTAATATTTTTTTTACCCAAACAATCAACTGTGGGACAAATTCTTTTGTCATGTTAATGGAGAAAATGAGAAATATGCATTTACTCCATACTGGGCTCAAGATGGACTACAGGGAAATGGTTTAAAGTGTGTGTGAGTCCTGCAGTGTGTCAGAAATGTGCCACACACTGAGGCAGCAGTGCTGGACGTGAGGGTGGGGGCCCACAGAGTGATGTTCCCTGTTGCTGGTGTTATGTATGATCCTGTGCAATGGGGAGCACCAGAGGACTGCAGAGCTTTGGGGAAACCACAGCTCTGCACAGGAAAAAGTGCTCTTAACTCTGCTTTGAGTGTCTGTGGCAGTTGTGGATTAGGACATTATCAGGCCTTTTTAACCACTGAGGCAAAAAGACCAAACCCAAACCCCACCCAAACTAGACCCCCCTGCACTATTCTCAGGGGGAGGGAGTGGGTGGAGCGTGGCAGCAGTGGGTCACTCACACACTGCCCGATGCTGCCTCTTGCCCTGATGGGCATTTTCCAAGGCTTTGTCATGGTGGAGCCAGGCTGGTCATCTCTCTCACCTGGTCACACAGCTACTGCAGGAGCCTTTCATGGTCTGTGTCTCAGCAGCTTCAGCCACCTTCTCCACTGGGCTTGGGAACGCTGCCGACTCTGCCCAGTGGCTCTCCAGGGCGGGGCGTGGGCTCCCTGGTGGCCTCTGCCTGGTCTGCCCTCAGTGATCCCAAAGAAGAGCTCTGGAATGGAGCAGTTTGCACCTAAAATCTTTCGAAAGCCACTTGAGACACTACCTGAAGGGTTTACGTGGCACAATGCATATGGGTCAGGAGACAGAGCAGGAGGACCCCGGGAAACCCCTTTGTTCTTTGCTTCTGTGTTCTTGAAAGAAACGTCTCACACTGACCTTACCACAACCCAGATGTTTTGTCAGTGTCAGCTGGAGGCCAAAATAGATGTGCCTTCATGTCCTGGGATGGTGACCTCTTCATACTGCTGCTAGTAATTTAAAATCAGACTACTGCTCATACTTTATATTTCAGCTCCAGTCCAGCAACTGAGGAAAACCTTAAGGAAGGAAAAAAATTCCGGCTTTCAGGAAATGTGTCTGAAGACATTAAAGAGGTATTTCAACTCGACTAGCCTAGCTCAAAAATAAACAAGATCATTTGTGTGGGAATATTTTCACCCATTGTCTGAGGATCATGTCTGAACAAAGCTCACGAAGCAGGAAGCCAGCTGTCATTTCAGCAGGGTGGATGAGTGGTCTGAACACAAAAACAGAGTCAGACATGCCTGGTGTTGAATGCTAGCTCAGGCACTAGCCTGGTATGACTTTGGTAAAGTCATCCAGCATCTTTGTTGCTGTTTGCAGATCGCTCAGAATGAGGTAATAATTCTCATCTACTCCAAAGAGTACTGTGAGGTAATTAATTCATCTGTGTAAGGCACTTCAAAGATTAAATTATTATTATTATTAATTTTATAAATTCACAACATGGTATAGCTGACTTTCATCCATTACTTAAAACCTCTTTGATCTAAATAATGCAGTCGCAATTTATTATATTAGCAACTAAAAGAGCAACTTCAGACGCAACCTTAGAGGTGAAATGTCCTATTTCTCTCAACATCCCCAGCCTGGTTTGCAGTTCTAAGAGTTGAAAGTTAGTTCAGGGTAGCTGCCAAACACATTTCACTGCCTGTCCCTTTCAAACTGAGTGCAATGAAAAGAGTAGGTACCAGGCAGATAATATTCTCAGACTGGAATAAGCACTGTGTCCTTGAATGTTATCTGTTGGTCAACCAGTACCATCTTCCAAGATTAGTGCTGGAAGAAGGCAGGCTGATAAAGAGGGAAAATTGCAAGGGCTATCCAAGTGGGTACAACAGGAATACATTACGTTGGATGATGTAAAATGTGAGTAATTGCTCGTATTTTGCATCAGCAAAGCATTGCCCCTACAAGTTAGAAAGCTGTTTCTGCTGACACTAGCAATTATTTTTTTTTTAGGAAATACTGTTTTTCTCCTCTGTATACTTTCAGATTTTTTACTTTTGAAAGAAGCAAATGAGCAAATTAGCATTTGCAGCAGTTATGAGGTATGGCGTGCAGAGTTTGTTTTGAGAATTATGTGTGTGTAGCTGGTAGTGGGGGGACTAGGGTGTTTGAGAAGCAGAATAAGAAATATTAGAGGTTTAAAATCTCTCATCTGTGAGGTTCAGTGGGAAACAGTACCAAATGCATGTAGTCCTCAACATGTGCAAAGAAACAATCCTATCACCTGTTTGAAAACCACCTATTCTGTTACCTAAAGGAATACAAGAATTTCGGCCTAAATATCCAAAGTTGTTTTCCATTTTACTTTCACTTAAATTCCGTGTTAGCCAAGACACCCACAGTGCTGCATGCACCAGGAGTGCTAATGTGACTGTTCTGCTGCTGTCCCCATCAGAGCTAATATTTTATACAGTGCAGCCCTTGAGCACAGACTTTGTTCTTTGGTCTGGTGGTGTCTGTATCTGCAAATCTGCAGACTTCACAGTGACCATTCTACCTTCTCCTTAGGAATGAGAAACTGGATGAGTCCTTCATGGCCCTGCTCTTCTACCTGTCTCTTCACCAGGAAATAATTGCCCTGGAATAAAAATGCAGATCCTTGATTTTGTGAGTACAAGACTTTAGGGACATAAGCACATTAAGCTTGCCCCTGGAGCACACAAAGCTTGCAAATTTGGAGTCACAGGGCAGTCATTTGGGACTCCCTGTCAGGGCAGTGAGATTCTGCATATGAGCAGGGACTATTTGCTATATTGACCCAATATATATATGGAATACTATGGATAAAGACCCCTTGGTCTCACCATTTATGTCTCACATCCCCTTGTCCTGGGTGCTCTTCAGGACACAGGCTTCTCTGACTATGGAGAGGCAGATTTTCTGGCAGGGTTGGAACCCCTCTTTGCCCCAGCCTTTCCCAGAGTGGTATGTGCTGTTGTTCACATCCCATGGCATCCCCGCAGTCTCCCTTTCAAGATGGTGGCTGGGTCCAGTCCTACTGCAATGGGGTCACCAAATAACTTGGCTCTTCAAGGTGATGCTGCAATTTGAATAAATCATTACTTCTTCCACCAGTGTTAGATCTATGTGAGTGCCCTGAACCGAATTACCATCCCTTAATGCTGTTTCCGAGGAATAACATTAGCATTCAGTCATTTCTACCTGCAAATAGTCACAGCCGAGTCTGCTGGGTGTTGATTTGTGCTGTGGGTGACATTGCTGTAAGACTTCATTTCTAAATACTTTGCAAAGCAGGTTCGGATGACTCTTAGGTGCTAGAAACATGTTACAACATGAGGAATATGTGCTAGGAAAGCAGTTCCCAAGCAAGGGTGTGTGACCACACTTGCTGCCTTGCAGAGTGGAAGTGGTGATGCCAGGGGAATAGCTGAGGAGCTGCTGTGTTGGAAGGTTATACACCTCGGGAAAAAGCACTGAGATTTACAAACCATGGCTGTAAGAAACTTCAGTGATCTTCTGGAGTCTGTAATAATCTCTGTGAACTGATTGACCATTTTCTTAAAACACTTAATGATTACTTATTCACAGTTCATGAAGCCTTGATATAAAGTGGGGCAGATTTATCTGGATTGAAGAAAAAAGCGTTGGAGGATTGGTGGCCTTAAGGAAATGATTTGTTCTACATGCATTGATTGACAGATGTTTCATTGTGCAAGGAATAATTCATAAATAAAGAAAATCATCAACACAGTTCAATACACAAAGGTCACAGACTCAGTGAGGTGCTCTGGGCTGCAGTTTGCAAAACAATCCTCTTGCCTGGTAAAGGACAAGGAGGCCACTCCATGGGTCATGACACCTCATTACAGCTTACTGGTGTGGCAAATGCAGGAACGGACTGAAACAAAGGGGAATTGGGACCTATTGCAATACAGGGTTGTGTTTCCTGGATAAAGGGACCTCTGGTTGGTAGGGATCAACTATAAGCTACTGGATGAACCCTGCCAGGAGAGACTTTTCAGTGCGTTGTGCCATGCAGTGCTCCCAAAGTGAGTCCTGCCTTTTGGTGGGAAACATATACTGACTCTCCATTTCTACAATACTGCTTTATTTAGATTCCTTACCTCCCCTGAAAGAAAGTGGCTGGCTTGTCAGGATTATCTGAATGGAGTGTTAACATCAGAGAAGCCTTAAGATGAGGCATACTATGTAGAAACAGGAGTTCAGGATATTGATATGCTGAAGTAGAAATACAAGTAAGAAAAATAAAATTACAAAAGGCAATTTTAGGTCCTATTTGATGTTGAAGTTCAACCTTAATTGTTTTAGCATCTTAGCTCACTTGGAGAAGCAGGGAGATAGTCATGGTGTGAAGAGCTTTCTGATATTGCAATCTTTCCCTATTCAAGACCTCCCATTTCTTGTTATCCACATGGTCTAATTATGAACTTATATGTGCTATATTTCAAATCAAATGTAGCAGGGACTGTCTTTCCCCTCCTGTGGAGTAAAGTTCATGGAATGTCTTCCACTAGGAGGAGCAGGGACAGGCAAGAAAACTCTGTTTCTGAAGGTGGAGTTCTGAGATCTTGTGTAAGGCATTTTATAACTACAGCATAGAATCATAATGACATAAAATCACACTTGTGATAAGAATCCTTGGGTTTGTGATATGCTTGATGTATCTGAGCGAATGTGAAAGAAGATTGCATAGTCATTTGATTTCCTGTATCTATCCCACATAAATCCCATGCTCAGGGCTGTCACTAGTGGCCTGCTCTGGATGAAAACTCCTCCCCCTTCCTCCAAGATGTAATGAGTTCAGAGGCTCTTTGGCTTTCCTATGTAGTACTGGCAATGTGCCACAAGGGGAGACAGACAGGAGGCAAGACATGCCAGTAGCACTTCATGTTTCTCGTTAGTGGTGCCTGTAATTTGCTCCCAGTTAAGCCGACAGACAGATTACTTGGAGACAGGGCTTGCTGACCCACCTAGTCCTTTATCAGCCTCCTGTTCTCATGTGACAGGCACATCCAACGCTCTGCAGTCCTCCAGCTGCTCTTCCTGTGGACCCAGTGTGATAACCTAATAACACAGAAAACAGCACTGGTTATTCCTGCTCCTCCTTGGTGTGTTTGGGGATTCCTGCCATTCGGGCTGCCTATTTGAGGTGCTTAACTCACCTGTTGGGTCTAATTTTGTCTACAAGGATGGTCTCAATAGCTCCTCAGCCATCTTGAACCTAGACCACATAGAAATATCAGTGTCCACAGTACCTCAAGGGACTTCAGAATCCATTGCTTTTGTGCATTAAATTGTCTTTGGAGAATAAAGTATTGGAAGAGGTTCCTATCAGAGAAAGCCAGGATGAATCTGGACATCTTTTCCCTCTTTTGACTTTGTCTTTTGTTGATGCCATGCTGATTCTTTGTAAATCCAAGTCTAAGGCTTTCATGATTTTTTTCTAGGTTTGGGAAGATCTTGTAAACTAACTTCAAAAACAACCAGCCAGCTTTCCAAAGCAGCAAGCATGAGGCATTCCCCTGCTGGAGACAGCCTGGGAGGATTCACCTCTGAAATATGTGACTGTAAGAACAAAAACTCACTAGTGGTGGATGAGACATGAATGGAACAAGGCCTATTATTTCTGTCCTGCATTTTCTTTCTCCTTTAGTTTCTGTTTCTGCTTCCAACCCTTTCATGTCATTTGGGGGAAATCTACTGAATTTTATTAGTGATTATCCTTGAGAAGCCCAGAGTAGTTGTCCTAATTTATTAAAAGGGGCTTGTATAGGAAGCTTTAGAGCTGGAGCCCATCAGGGATAGGGCAGATAAAACCAACTCTCCCAAGTGTGAGAGGAGGCTGGTAGCTTTTAGGCCAGCAGCACTCCCAGGCACCAGCAGACAGTCGGGTGGATTACAGGGGAAGCAGAGGAAATGGAAAGCTCTTTGGTTTGGAATTTCCTTAGTGTTTGATCTGAATTGGTTTAAAATACAGGCTTGTGGTGTCAGCCATTCCTGTGTTCCTGTTCGGGGGCGGTCCCAAAAGCGCTTCGTGTGCCTGTTTGAAGAGCAGTAAGTGGTGTCTCTGGGTGAGCCAGACCCACAGCTCCAGGCTGCCTGGTGACAAAGCCTGGGGATCCCAACCTCCAGGGCTTTCATGCTGGCTTCAGGAAGAGCTCATAAGCTATGCAGGATCAAAGACGGTAACCTGACGGGCTGTGGGCACGTTGTGAGAGGCAAGAAAGACTGTCTGGGCCCAAGCCCCAAGCGTCATGGCCCCACCAGCACTGCCCAGCTGCTCTGGAAGCATCTGATCCCAGCCATTCTACAGAGGGGTGCCCTGGTTGTGGTGTCGTGCAGCACGTTGGTTTAGGTGCCTGAAATTAACACTTCCTTCACTCTTTCTGTATCTCTTCTGTCCAGAGCCCCTTCCCTGAACATTTTTTTGCCTTTTTTTTGTTTTCAAAAGGACTATGATATTTTTGGAGAAGATGTGCTGGTGAAGTTAGGCGTATCCAGGATCTACCTTGCCAGGGTGTACTGTAACCTTATCCTCGGATGAGGCATGGCACAGCAGAACCACATGCCCAGTGAAAAGCAAGCCAGTCCCTTCTGGGTACTCTGGTTGTGCCAAGGGCCTCAGTAGCCCAAGGTCAAGGTCTCTGTTGCATGACACAAGTGAATGCCCAGGGTAATAAACGTCTTGTGAGCCATGAGGACCATGAGACACAGAGGCATCCTGATCTTCCTGCAGATCTATCTCATCTCATAACCAACTCCAAAAGTGTTTCTGGTGAGCTGCTGCCAACTGATTTGGCCACAACGAGCTGCAGCAGAGCTCTGGATGCCAGACTGGAAAGCTCTAGCCCTGGTATGCGGAAGTGTTGCTGAATATACAGAGCAGCAAACTTTAATGGGCTCAACATGAAAGTCAGCAGGGCAAAAATCAGTGCCAGCCCTGGATTTTACCCCTGCCACTTCCACTTAACTAAATCTTGAAAACAAGTCATTAGGTGCCTGCTGGTTTCCACTGAACCCTGCATAAACTTCCTCTTATGCCAAGTTTGAGATAGTATAAAGACTAGTCTAGCAAGTGAGGGAGCCCATGTACCTGAAGGACGGCAAGTGCAGGGAGTAGAGGTAAGAATAGGCTGCGCTTGGGCATTGGAAGTGTAGGACTCCCACCTCTGAGTGGGGGAGATGGTGCATGGTTATTTCAGAGTGTTGGAGACCAACCACTCTTTAGGTGTGATAGTCCCAGCCATGAACTGAAATGGGAGACAAACTTGTAGTGAGATTTCAAAAAGAACCTGAAGAAGGCAGGACAGGATGGGAAGACAGAGAAACTAAGGGAATGATGAGGACAAGAAAAGGGGATTTTTAACAGGCAGTGAAGGTGGTGTGGTTTAACCCCAGCCAGCAACTTAGCACCATGAAAAATGGTTAATGGAAGGAGAATGTAATGACAGAGAGATCATACACCATGCTAGTGTCAGGGACTCTTTCCTCAGCCATGCATGTTCCTCATCCATGCGTGTTCCCACACAATGTTTCACTTCCCAGGCAGCAGAAAGGAGCTGGCAGTCCCCACACAGCATTCCACTCCCTTGAGATCTTCTCAGAGCAGTTTTAGGAAAACTTTTTCAGTCAGTTGGTGTGAAACTGCTGCCAGTCCCCCAGTGGAGTCACAAACATGCACCTGCCTTCCTGCAACACAGCTTCAGGCAGCCTTGCTTCTGGCTGGGGTGGGGGAACCTGAGTTTCCTTCTAATCACAAGGAGAAGGTAACCCATGAAATGATGGGAGTCAAAGGGGGCTGTAATTGCTGTCCCAACAGGGCTTCCATTTTAGTGTGTCCCATCCCACAATGTGTTGGACACTGAGAATTAAGAATGTGTTCCCTTTACATTCTGGCACATCAGAACTTCACTGAGTGCTCTGGGAGCAGTTTTCCCTGGCAAATTCCTGCTCCCAAATCCTGCTGAGCAGAGGCAGCCTTCTCACTGGTTGGACAGGGAGGGTCATGACAGCATTTCATTGCTTGTTGGGTGTCCCTAATGTTTGCACTTTTAAGTAAGTTGGAGGAACTTACTGCAGTAACTTGGATCCAAGAACTGGATGCAGCTGGATAAAACAGACTGTGGTATCCCCAGCCATTTAGCTCTGCTGCCTCCTCAGTCACTCGTATTGTCTGGCAGATGGGAATGATTGAGGCACGAAAGAGATCTAGTGGCAAAAAGCCACCAGCGTTGAAGTGAAACTGTGTTCTTTAATATTTCCATCACAGTGGGGGTTGGAGGCTGGCAGTGGGCTGGGATGTTGGTGTCCAGACTGTGAAAACACAAAGGCTGGAAAAGAACTGTGTCTTAAAGCTTTCATGAGGTAAGAAAGGTGCTGTGTGAGGAGAGACCTCAGTGAGTTACTCATAGCAGGGTGGCTGACTACAGCTGCCTTCGGAATCAGGCTAATGCTGAGCAGGCTATAATATAGGGCACTTCCCATACTATGCTGCAATTATATGAACATAATCTTTTCCAGGATGACTCATTTTAGCCTCAAATGTTATCTGGATCCTCCCAAACCATTATATGAACTGCCAAATACAAGAGCTAAGGGACAGAACTGATTAACACTCTTAATTATAAAAGATGGTTCGGAATTTTTTGAGCACACATGGGTTTGGGTGAAATGGAAACTGTGGGGAAGGTTACTTTTTCTAAGTTACTTTTTAAAATGGGAAATGTTTAGACTAAAAAGCTGAGGAACTCTTGATGATGTATCACCCCCAGTTTTACTATATTTCCTTATAACCCAACTATGGGTTCATAATGGTGTTGAAGCTTTTGCTTTTCACTCCAATTCACCATAGAAACCAATGAAATCTTATACTATGTTGGTAAAGTGCTTTCTCTGTCAGATCTGCCAAATGTCCATGTGTTCATATGAAATTATTGATTTTTCATGAAAGGGGTTTCTCTAAAATTTTAAAAAGAGAGGCTTAGGTGAAGAGCATCTTCATCTTAAGCATTTACATGCTTTATAAAATGCAGCATTAATCCTATCTTGATACTATCCCAGACTGGAATTTGAGAGAGTTCCTCTAGACCTGTTATTTGTATATGTTAGCATTAGTCCTTTTGTGCCTCCAATGCTACGGAAGGAATAGGTGTGTCTGGCTTTCTCCTTTTAAGTTGATGGGGATTGTGCAACCTCTTTGTAGTACCAGTTTCCTTATGGGCATTTGTCATAATGGGAAAAATACAGAGTGTTCCCAAAGCTGCATCCACCAGTGGGGCAAACAGAGCCCTTACTGATCCTTGGATCTGGCTTGATCCATGGGTAGAGTCCCAGCTGTGGTGGCAGGGGCTGCTGAATGGCACAGGAAGCATTTCCCCCCCACGTGCCCCTGTGCACAACAGTAGTTCTTGCAGACCTCTGAAGCCATTATCACCTTGCACCCAAACCCCACACTTACTGCCCTGGCTGCCTTTGGCTGTGCTGTTCTCCTGTTTAGTGCATGAACTTATCCCATCCCCTTCACAGCTCAGAGAAATCAATATTGCTGTATCAATACCGTAACCAGCATTACTGTATTATTAGAAGGCATGATGCTTTTTGCTCACTGTTTCAAATTTCTTACAAGTCCCATCCTGAAGCTTGTTGCTTCAGGATGTTTTCCTGACCCTTTCTGTATTTTCCTAATTAGCAACTGTGCCCTAGACATGGGAGGTGCCTCCTAGTTCAATACTTATTTTAGGAAACTTAACTTCAATCAGGTCTTTTGGCTTAGTACCTCACCTCAGGGCAGAAGTCACTGGGAGAAAGAAGAGTGAAGACCCTTGGCCTTATTTGGATCTAATTATTAGTGTTATTTTCTGTTCCTGGCTTTTACATATGTTTTTCTGCTAGAGTCTTAGTTCCAAGACACTGCACGAGCTGTGTATTGTTAAAGGTGAAGCTGGGTTTCACATTTAGCTTTAAGGACCTGGGGTCTCTTTAGGTTTCTCCAATCTGATAGTCTGAACACAGAATGCTGTGATTTACCAGAATCCTCAAAGAATCCAAATAATCAGAGATGTTTTGGGAGTTCTCTTTGGCAAAGGGCCATGCTGTGTGTGCAGAGTCAAGCTTCTTTACCCTTGCATGATATGTGAAGTGTCAGCAGGATTATGGCTGGTGGGAGCCAGGTAGGGAGATATGTGGTCTTCTTGATCAAACAAATCAGTAAATGAAAGTCTAAAGATAGTAAATAAAGCTATAGGGCTGAAAGGTATTATCTTCATGGACTGCTCTGCATTGATGTTTCTGGGGTGATGGCAGCTGGGGATGCCCTCAATGTGTGGAACACTCGATATTATCAGGAAGATAAGGGACATGTCAGGAGTTGTGAGTTGATGCGGAGACAGGCTTTCCTGTGTGTCTGGCAGGACTGAGCCAGATTGGTGGGGATCTGTAGGCTAGCAGGGAAAATATGCTTGCATTTCCATGAGGGTGAGTTGTGCCATCTCCAGGAGAACTGAGTGGCTGCTGGAATGTTTGCAGCACCCTCTGCTTAAAGGCTGCTTCCATGACAGACTGTCATTTGGCTTTGTGTGACAACCCCGGGCTCAAGTGGGGGGTGAGAGCATCTCTCAAGCTTCCACTGGGCAAATTGCTTCCTCTTTAACAAAGGCCCTTTGTCGTTCTTGGTCATGTTTTACATCTTTTCTTGGAGATAAAGCAGGCACCTCCTGCATGGTTTTCAATTTTATTGTCTCAGCCTTGGCCTGGCTTTGTGCCCCCAGTAACTCTGCTTGTTGCTCTTCCAGTGATGTCAGGAAGAGTTTTTTGTTGACTTCAGTGGGAACTGGGTTAGATCAGCACTGACCACTTTTGAGAGGCCCATGCAGAGCACTCAGTCTAGATAGCATAGCAGGGGAGCCTCGCTCGCTCATCACATCCAGCTTTGTTCTCTGTCAGATTTAATTAACTGAGCCACACAATATTTTGCATTTTCTCCTTCTGAGGCAGTGCAGAGGTCTTGTCTTTCTCTTGGACAGTAGGTCTCTGCATGCTGGTAATGAGGATCTACCAGCAACAACTTTATTGCTCTGGTGAAATGCCAGCTTGGCATAGCCCCGTGAATCATACTCAATGCTCTGTTCAGAGAACTGAAAGGACAACTGCTGCTGTTAATTTTGTGCTCTTGTTCACTGCCTTAGGAGAAAAACATAATTGCAGAAAGATTGGAACTTTTTTGAGGAGAGAAAGACACAAAAATAAATGGAGAGTGTGACTGAGTGTCAGCCCAGAGTGTGTCCCTCCCTTGCACATCCAAATGCTTCTTTCCTTTTTGGTTCCCCCTGTAGTTTACTTGTAGGGCAGAGTGCCTAGGACAAAATTTAACCTCCAGGGCCTAGGTGTACCTGTAAAATCCCATCTCTTTGCCCTTCAGCTCAAGCCTTTTCCCCCTGAAGCCATAAGCTGGGGAGTTTCAGACCTTTGGTGGCTCTTGGACCGCAGGCAGTTCCCACCACAGCCTTAGGTCCCTCTAAGCCATCTGCTCTGTATATTTCTTCTCATCATGGCCTCATAGTTTCATCTCTGTAGGTAAGAAAATGTACGGTCTTTCATTTCCATTGCTCTTGGTGACATTTCTAGATGCCAGTAACCTCCTGGCCTGCCACATACAGCCCTATCAGCCATTTATGAGACTCACTGTGCAGCAGGGCTTCAGTAGATTAATGCAGAACATCTGGGCCCAAATTATACTCTGTACTTCATAAGATGGGAAGCTTTTCCTTGAAAGAGGGGAACTATGGATTCAATCCCAAGGAGACCCAGCAGATTCAGCAATGCCATCTTTTCAAGAACAGACTTGGTAGAGGTTGGATTTGTTGTGAGCTGATTCAGGTTATGCTAAGGATAACAAATGTTAAATAGGAGAGAAAAACTAGGTTTTGGTTTTTTTTAATCTGCAAGCAGACATGTGGAGGTGAGATGCAATGAGTTTGTATTTGGTAGTGATATTTTCTGTGATAATAACACTGTAATTCAGGGTGGGGATGCTTGTCCACCTGCAGCTGCCCAAACACTATCTGTCCTGTCAGACCATGCCCTTCAGCTTCCTCAACAGCCACTGTGGAGTAAAGAAGCTCAGTCAGAGGGTGACTTATTGCCTATTGAAATAGATGTGTGTGATAGGAACCCCACAAAGTGACTCACTCCATCAGTCTCTTTCCTTTGATTATTGAGGGAAACTGGGTGGTGGTCCCAGGTTACACTAGCCAAGACTAAGCCAAACTCATCAGAGCAAGATAAAATCCACCTGAGCTCACTCTGTTTCTAGCCTCATCTGTCTGCATACCCTTAAAAAACATTCCTTTCAAGTCTTCACTGCTGCATGCATGGTAAAATCTGATGCCAAATGGTTTCTACTATTTTAGTGGAGTCATGTCATCCTGCACTCTGAGACTGAGGAGAGATATTGTGGTCTTCAACATCCTCATGAGGGGAAGTGGAGGGGCAGACACTGATCTCTTCACTCTGGTGACAGTGACAGGACCCAAGGAAACGGCATGAACCTGTGTCAGAGGAGGTTTAGGTTGGATATTGGGAAAAGGTTCTTCACCCAGAGGGTGGTTGGGCACTGAACAGGCTCCCCAGGGAAGTGGTCACAGCACCAAGCCAGACAGAGTTCATGAAGCATTTGGACAATGCTCTCAGGCACATGGTGTGATTCTTGGAGATGGTCCTGTGCAGGGCCAGGAGTTGGACTTGATGATCCTTGTGGGTCCCTTCAATTCAGCATGTTCTGTGATTCTATGATTCTATGCAGTGGGACTCTGGGCCTTTTTCTCAGTGAATAAGGAATCTGCATTTTCAGTTTAGGGCTTCTACATCTTCAGCAGCTATGTGGCTTGGCTTGTGTTCAGATGGAAGCGCTTCCAAGTGATTTGGGAAGAAATCATCAAGCTCCTTTGCTCTAACGTGTTTGATCCTGCTCTAAGAGACAGGAACAATGATGACTTGCAGAAAGCAGGAGACCAGACTGAGTGTGATTGCCTGAGGCACACATCTGACATCCTGGTGAGTCCTTGGGGAACCCAACATGTCCAAATACTCTTGAGGCAACACCTGCATTTGTTTTCTTTGAAGGAAAGTCCATGCTAAGCATCCTTTTGTAAACTGCATGGTTCACCAGCGCTCACCAGTGCTCCCCTGCCTGAAGGACAGTGCTCCAGACCTCTCCCAGAAATACTGCTGTCAGGGCAAAGCAGCTACTGTCCATCATAGTGCTTTGTTAAAAATCCTAAGTTTTCTGTGGAAAGGAAATAGGCATTAGCATAAATTTGAGCAGAAATTAATCAAAACTTCTCAAAATCAAAATGGGATTTATTTCCCTGCTCATTAATCATTCCAACTTCTTATTCTTGACTTTTAGTTTTTAATAGTGTTCTGATCAGACATTGCCAATATATTGTATTCCAAAATAAGTAATTTTGTTGCTACATTGTACTTTGAAAATGTAATTTTTGTTATAATAGAACATTTTCTTTTGATTCATGATAAATAAACCCAAAATCTTTCAAGCCTGGGTATGCCATACAAGAGGAATTCCATTTCCCATCCAGTCATGGATAACAGCAATATCATTGCAGTACTTTTAAATGTAATAACTCATGTAAACAGCACCACTGTAAATCAGTTTTGCTCTGTTGAAGTGTATGGAAAGCTTCTTTTAAGACTTACCCTCGTAACTTTTCTTTTGCCTGGAAATGAGAATTTAAGAATTGCCTTCATTTGTCTGGATCTTCAGGGTTCTGACAATCCTGTAAATGCTACAGCACTGCACATGCAAAATCTTTGGACATATCTGCAACGCATAACCAATGAGTCTGGTATTAATCGAGAGCGTGAAATTTGCTACAAACGCACACGTAATTATTTTGTACATGCTTTGGAATCATCAGGTGCATCCCAAGCATCTTGTCTTTATACATTATGCACAGAGTCATGTAATTCACATGCAAAAGGGCCAAACTCCACAGGGAGCTTCACTGGGATGTCTGCAATCCATGCTGTGTGCGTGCCCACTCCAGGCAGGAACATGATGTAGTGTGCAAGGTGCCGAGGCTTCAAGCACGGCTGTTTGGTTTTCCCTGGGGGAGAGCTGTTCTCTGCCAAAGGGGGCGAGGTTCCTTGCTGGTTGACCTAAGAAATATCACAAATCTGTACCCCTCTCTCCTGGTTTTTTTTGCTTTATTGTGTCAAGCAGATTAACATGATGTTTTCTAACAGGGTGGGCATCATTGGCACAAGTGTAAACCCTGGATGAGCATGCCTGACGGGATGATGGAGGAGGAAGGACAAGAACAAGGATGAATAAGGAGTGGTTTCACTGTCCTGACAAATGACCTCAGTTTGCCACCTTCTGAGCAGCCCCCAAAACAAGGCTGAGTGGTCAGAGCACTGTGCTCTCAAGAGCAATGGCAGAAGGTGATTGTAATCAGAGCACCTCGCAGAAGTGGTGTCTGTGTTGAGGGCCATGGTTTCACTTTGCTAAGTAAATCACTTTGAAATTGCAGCTTAAGATGTCCAACTCATTTGTCAGAGGTGAGGGACTCTGTCACACAAAGGCCTGGACTGGGTGGTTGGAGACCTAGCCTGTAATTCCTGGTTCATCATCTTAATGCCTTAATCACACCATCTCTGAGAAGATTATTTTCCTGACTTATTTTGGGAGGTGCTTTGACACCTGCAGATGAATATGATTATTGATTTCAATGTCAACCCTCTTTTTCTAAAAGGTTAGCAAAGCCACCAGGAGACATCACTTATTACAGTTGAAAAGTTGCAGAAATTTTGCTTTCAAAGGAAACTAATATGGTATCTCTAATATATTGTGTTCTATTTTTTTACTTTCATCATCTCTCATTTTGTTCTTGGATCTAGTTAACCTTAATTATGACTCAATGTGAAATAAGTATAGCAAAGAGAAATGCTGTTATTTAAAATATCTACCAAGTCTTCATTTCATATTATATTTTAATTACATTTATGTGTTTATTTTTATCATTGATTTTACATGACTGCAAAAGCAAATCTTAGCAATTCATACTTAGAATATGCACTTGGGATGTTAGTATCTTGAAACAAACAAATTCGTGGCAAGAAATGATATAATTTTGCTTATAAAATTATTTGTACCTGGTAAACATTGGAATGTTAGCATGGAAAATTTAGCGGGGAAAATTTAGGATGAAATCCTGACTTGGTCATAGCCAATAAGAATCAATGAAAAAATAATGGATGATCAAACAGTAGAAGAAAACCAGAAAGGTAATATTTTGTCACCGCTAAGAGGAGAAATTGGACATCTTAGTGCAAATTTGGAAGTTTTTCAGCAAAATATATCAATACTGGATAAGAATAATACAAATTTTTCTACCCTTGTGGTTCAGTTTTTAAAAGGATGAAAATTTGCGGCATGATTGTGATGAAAAATTTACTTCTTCTGGAGTAACCAATAGTGCAGGGACTACATCACTTCCATGGGATGGCCCTGCACTGCCTTGTTGAGACAGACACTTGAAGTGCAGGTTCACAGCTATTACTTAGTCTCCTCACTTAGGCTGGCACATGGGATATTAATGCCTAAGTGGCATTGTGGCCTAGGCTTGTTTTCCATGTGTCAAGCGAGTCCTTTTACCATTGGATGAGGCTGTTGTGGCCTGCAGCTTCTCTTTCAAGCTTTTCATTAGACATCCGTTCTGGCACACAGCAAAAATATTTAAATATAACCTCTTAGGAATGCTGTGGAAAACACATACTTTCTCCCAGAGGAGAATAAATGTAAAAGATAGATTTAGAACTGTGTGTGAGGCTGCAAAACCTTCCTTATATACATGATGTGGAATGGTATACTCTCTATTCCCTGAGCAACCTGGTCTAGTGGAAGGTGTCCCTGCCCATGGCAGGAGAGTTGGAACTTTAAGATCCCTTCCAACCCAAACCAGTCTGTGATTCTTTTCAAAATTAACATTTCTAGGTTGTACATTCATTTTGGGCACACTGGTTAGTGATCACGTGATCTGAAAAACAGTGATGACACCTTAAGATGGTGCTTTATTTGCAGGTTTTCTGAGTCTCTTACTGGGTCAAAGCACGTGCAGCTGTCCTTCCCAGCTGCGTGTGTGACTCCTGGATGGTGCAAGAGGCAGCTGTGGTATCAGTGCCCTGCAGCAGCATGGTTTCCCTACATGATGCAGCAAGATGTTGGCTAATACCTGGAGCTGAGGGAGGCTACAGCACATGTCCCTGCTCTTGGTCTCAGTCGAAGCCTGTCAATTCCTGCATTAGGAGTCCTCTGTGTGCTAAAGGATGGGTGCAGCTTTGTCTCTCTAGCTGCATCACCGGGCCCTCTGGGATCTGTGGACTGACATCTCAGTGCCCTCCCTTGTCCTTGTCCTTGCAAAAGCACCTTGCTTTGCCACAGCAAGGCAACAGACACACGTGGAGCCTTGGAAAGATTATGAGGGCAAGGTGTCCTTTGCCACAGCAGTGCTGCAGGGCAGTGCAGACTGTGGTATGTGCTAATAGCTGGGGTTTGTTATTGGTGCCCGGGGCAGAGATTTCACAGAGTTGCACACTTGGCTGGTGGTGGGCCCGGGATGACAGGAGAGGACCCAAGGGTGGAGCACACACTCACATAGGCAGCAAAGCCCCTGGGTGCAAACAAGCTTTCTGTGCACAGCCACTTACCTGCAAGATCTGTGTCACTGCAGAGGAGAGGAAGCTCCGAGCAGCTACTGGTGCTGCTCAGAAATAGTCAATGAGCTACTCAGACTGTGAGATGATGGTCAGCATGTTTTGTTTGCCCTTCTATGGACTCAAGGCAGGTTCCTCACAGGCTCCTTGAGGGAGCAGCCCCACGGGGCTGCTTTCTCACAGTGAAATAGCGAGCAACAACTGACTGCTTTTGTCACATCATTTTCCTTGGACAAGAGGCAGCTCCAAACCAGGCATGGTCTCAGTTATTTCTATCTGCACTTAGAACGTGCTGTTTGGCTCACTCCTCAGGAGTCACCTGGATAAAACCTAATGGTCCCAGTAAGCCCATGGTTTGAAACACTGTGATCACCAGCCAAAACCTCAGCCATGGCTTTGGATCTAAGTTTTCTGTGGCAATCTAACAACAACCTTGAACTTTTCAGAAAAGATTGAGAAATACCTTGAAGATCAGATCCTTCAGTGAGCAGAGTCTTTTCCAGGGCTGCCTTCTCAGGGGTAAGTGTCTGCTTCTTCTGAAGTAATGTGTTTCTAGCACAGAGAACCCATGCTTGTTTCAGCATGTAAGCAAACCTGGCAGCCTTTCACACAGGACAGTGAGTCATCCTTGAGCAGGAGAGAGTGAGTCAGAAAGGGCAGTTGACAAGCTTTATTTATCACTCTCCTGTTATTTGGCCCGGGAGAATTTTACCCTGAAAAACCCACCCCTGTTAATGACAGACAGAACTCAGACTTGTATCATATGACTACTGGCTTTTTTGTCCCATAGGCTTTGCACACAGTTTCATATCAGGAAATCATGGCAGTTGGCCATTTCCGTGAATTTTTATTTTAAAAGGGGTTCTGAACATACCAGCTATATTGGAATAACTTGCCTGAGCTAGGGTTACCCTAAAGAGAACAAACTGAAATGCCTCTGAGTGATGAAAAGAGCCTGGGGGGGTTCTGTGCAAGGGTGTTTATAGAGTTCCCATTTACTTTCTTCTCTTGAGGCTGCTTTGCTCACAGCCTAATTGAATGCTACTTGCACAGTGTCTTGACTGTCTTTTGATTATGGTTCTGCCACTCACAGGCTCCATATAGGGCGTGTCAGGCCTAGTGTAAGTATCTGTTTACAGAAGTTATATGGTTCTGTTGTAGAAATACATGCCAAGCAGAATGTTGGCAGGAAACATCACAACTCAGAAATGGAAAAAGAGACAGAGAAAAGAAAAAAAAAATCTGCCTGATGATTAATTAAGGAAACTCTGCCCTTTGGGCTTTCAGGCTTTGCAGCTGGAAGAGAGGTAGCAGTGTAGCAAGGATTTGGGGTGACCATGATGTGTAGTTGGGTGTCTGGAGGTATGGGAAGGAGCAAAGTGAGCTCAAGTCCATTCTACTTGTGTTGCAGGTGGCTTTGGAGTAGGAACACGTGAAGACAGCACCCATTGTGCTCAGCAAGTTCTCTGTGAGCCGGCATGGCAGGACTTGGAGGTCTTGCAGGTTCCTTGTCCTTGGTTTCTCTGGTTCAGTCCTGTTCTTCTTGTCCTGTTGGGGGCCAGTGCTTGGTACATATGGAATCCAAGACAGGCTGAGTCTGCCCATTTTCTGTGCAGAAGAGACAGGTCAAACCCAGCATTTCATCAGCAAAATAAAAGAGTTTGCCCAATTTTGCTTGGAATCATACAGACA